AAAGAGCTTGTCTGGATAGGAACAATGCCCTAGTGACAGACAGACCCATGTAAATCTCGGGGTATCCACATTCCCCCAGCATTAAGTGAACACGCCTGGAGTGTGGTAGTGTCGTTTTAGAAAAAAGATTTCAATATAAGTGAAAAATAATATATTCCTTGTTTATATATATATATAAAAATATATAACCCTCACATTATTATTTATTTGTGTATATTCACCAAAAAATAAAATGGTTCATATATATATATCCCCTAACAACTAATGAGAAACATCCATTGCATGTGCATCAAATCAATCAAACAAGGGCTTGCCCCTATCCCATCTCACTCCCCCACTCTGTGCTCTATTCTCTACCACCCCCTACTGCTATCAAGCTATCATATAGAACAGTGGTTCTCAACCTTTCTAGGGCCGGGACCCCTTGGTAACATTTGCCAAGTTGTGGTGACCCCCAAAGGTAAAATTTAGGGATGACGCGGCTGCTGCAGCGACATCTGGAGGCGTGACACTGCTGCGCTAGGAGAGAGCTGAGGAGGACTCTCACCTTGCACAGCGACCCACAGGTTGAGCACTACTGCTATAGGCAAAGACAGGACCGGGCTCTGCAGCTGGAACTAGAAGAATTGGATTTAAAGTATGAGGTACATACTCTGCAGTACTGTCACTGATAGGGATGGGCTCGGGCGTGTTCGCAGCTCCACTTGCCGAGCCCGCCAGGAAGCTGACAGCGCCAATCACAGGCACCGAGACATTTCCCAATCTCTGCAGCTGCGGACCGGGAAAATGGAATGCATAGCTAGAGGTGTGTTTTTTTTACATATTTTTTTGCTTGAATACATACATATTGCACTCGCCCTCTGCTGCTGTCAATCACTAGAAGGGGACCTGATGGAGAACTTCAGGTCCCCCTCTGCTGATTGGCAGCATCAGAGGGCGGGTGCAATAGCTAGTTTGCTATTGGCTTTTGGAAAGTGAAATAGCCAATAGGAATCTAGCTATGCATTCCTATGGTGGGTTTTTTTTTCTGACTTACGGCGGCCCCCGATTTTTCCGGGAGAAAGTGTTTCTCTCCCGGCGGCCGAGAGCCACTAGGCGACCCCTGGCAAATCGTCATTCGACACCCGAGGGGGTCCCGACCCACAGGTTGAGAACCCCTCATATAGAAGCTTATGATTTAAACACCTCCCTGAGTCCCATTTGGAACAGAGAGGGTGCTCAGTTTTGATTCCCTGTTTGCCTGACTGGAGCAATTCTTCTGTACATTTGGCATTGACCCATTGAGATAAAATTCCACAAATTGAACATCATTAATGATCCTTGCTAGTATATTGATCTCGAACTGTTTTAAACTTTAAATACATATGCTAAGTTATTTATAAACACCCATGCATGGCAGAGAGCCAGTGTAACGAGGCAAACTACAATAGTAAGACCTGGTAGGTATGTGCCCCCAGATCTTCATTTAAGGAGTATTTTCATCCAGGGTCATCCATTCATAGATTCTTTGACAGGATCTGCAAAAGGAGAAACCTCAAGTTTCAACAGCCACTGCAGCAGAGGGAGTTGTAGTTCTTAATGGAATACAAGTGTGGTGATGTCATCACACTTGTACTCAATTCATTGGCTGGAACTGTATTTGAACTGAATGGATGTGTATTTGTAACACATTTTTAAGGAGCATATTATTTAATTTATTTTATTGTTTAGCAATCTTTTATGAACCATTGTGACGTTTCTTTGGAGATGTATTGCTGCTAACGGTCAGTGTGTTCCCTTTCAGTCATGTTTGCTTATGAGCAGTGCCTGCTGGTGTTAGGGCATCATCCGGACATCTGGTATGAAGCTGCACAGTATCTGGAACAGTCCAGTAAGCTGCTGGCTGAGAAAGGGGTATGTATTTATTTATATATGGCAGTTAGCACAGTCTGTAAGATGATATTGAAGTGCTGCTATTTATTGAACTGTTCTTTCCTTTCATAACAGGACATGAACAACGCCAAACTGTTCAGTGATGAAGCTGCCAGTATTTATGAACGTGCAATTAGTACCTTGCTAAAGAAGAATATGCTGCTGTATTTTGCCTATGCTGACTATGAAGAGGTGCGCCTAAAATTAAAGCAGGATTCCAACCTAATGCTAGCTGAGTCTTGTAGCATGTTTTCCATTGATGGAAGCTGTTTGAAATGCCTACCTACCAGTATGCAGAACAAAAAACATAAACACTGGAGGGGTGGGAATGGGATTGAGGAAACCTAGAGATAACACTGTGTGTGTTCATGTAGAGATACGCTGCCATGTATTACATAAAATCATACTGCATTTGTGAGACGTGACATATATATTGTAGTCCTGGCCTTGCATTAGTATCTGTATCTTGTTTTATTGCCCATGATACAAGTTTTTACAAATGTTATACGTAATTCATTCTTTGTTTGTATTGCAGAGCCGTATGAAATATGACAAGACTCACATGATATATAAAAGACTTCTTGAAACAGAGGATATTGACCCCACTTTGGTAGGTCTTTTCACACTGTATTTCACTGTTTCTTCTCTGGAAAAACTCTCTTTATTTTTAGATACAAAGATTTTTTGGCAAACCCACCTAGAAAAACCCACCTTTGTTAGAAAAACAAAAATCCTTTCTATGAAATGAATTAACTTGTTATGGTGGTCCTATGCACCTCATTACCAAAACATGACCTCAGTGTTTTGGTTCCTGTATGCAGTCCCTTCTCATGTCACACAGAGTTATGTGAGAACCAGGTAAAAAGCTCCGCTCCAGTGACTCAGGATTTATTTCTAGAAGCTGTACTGTCATTGGGTCTGATGTAGTTGAAAGGGGCAGACACCGTGGGGTAGATTAAGTTGAATCTATTTACTTAGCAAAGTGAGTGTTCACTAAGCTTAGTAAATAAGAGGAGGCTGTGTTCACTTTGTTTACCCAATCATTTGCAAGGGAAAATAGGATCTACTGTATTCTTGCATGTGATTGGATGATTAAAGTGAGCACAGTGTCAACTTCAGTAACTCAAACCCATTGTTTTCAAGGGTGTTAATTACTGTAATACAGAATTTCTGCTCTCGTATCAAGTAAGGGAGGTGAACATGGTTATTGGTTGTGTGTTGTAATATCAGCAAATCTCCAATATAAAGCAGCATCCTGTCTTTTTAAGTATTAATTGTTTGTTTGAATAGTTCTGACTTTTTAGCTTTTGTTTTCCTGTATTATTTTTCCAAAGTACAGCTCCTACAAAACACCATATGGCATAAGTGTAACTGTGTGGCTCCAAATCCAGCTTATTCTACAGTGGGCACTTCCAACACTACTAAAGTAGCTTTTCATTGGTCTCACATTTTCTTTTTTTTCTTTTTTTTTTTTATTATTTTTACAAATATGATAATCTATTCTTTTAAACCACTCTCTCATAGATGGAATAATACTTTTGTTCCAATATAGTGGAATCATCATTTTAGCTGCGTTAAGTGTTTTTGTAAATCCGCCCAAGTAATCTCGTTGTGCGGGCGGGTGGCGCGTAGCTGTTCGTGCTAGACGCACTCAGCGCCATCAGCTTCTGGACACGCCCCCCCGTCACTCGGTCACCTGATCATCCCGTCTCGAAAATTACTTCACCGTCTCACATTTTCTGACATGTCAGATGGCCATAGGAGGACAACACTCTGCTACAACATACAGTCAGTGCAAGGGACATCCTCACCAGTAAAGTCTTCATGACATAATGACAGGTTTACGTTATGAGGATGATTCTGATTTGGTTTCTTTGTGCAACACTCCCAATTTTGTACTCTTTTGTGATAAATCATCCCTTAAAATAATACATCGTACAAAATAAAGTTCCTCTTTATTGGTATAAATTAGCTGTTTTTTTTTGCTATCTCAAATCCACCTTTGTTTTGATCTTGAAACTGTCTGCATCTGTAGTCCTTGATCAAAGTAGATGTCAGTACTTTTTTCATTGCCATTTGTGACAGGGATGACATTTAAAAAAGGAGATATCTTACAGAAATAACAATTTGCCCTGTGTAATTTCAGATGGTATATATTCAGCAGTCTGATTGTTGGCTTTGTTTCTTCAGGTTTATATTCAATATATGAAGTTTGCAAGACGGGCCGAGGGCATCAAAGCTGGGCGAATGATCTTCAAAAAAGCCAGAGAAGACGTTCGAACCCGCCATCATGTGTACGTCACAGCAGCCTTAATGGAGTATTACTGTAGTAAGGTGAGGAGATTCATTGTGCTTTGTCTTACTGTTTCCATAGGAAATAAATAAAAGCTAACTAGGATAAGGATACTTATTTTTAAATAAAATTACAATTTTTTTCAGCCGAGTCCAATGAGATTTAAAAAAACAGTCACATGGGTAAAATAAAGATCCTTATTGTTGTGTTTAAAGCTTTGTGTACTGATGTCCAATTTTGTCTGCCGGCTGGAGTGGATTTTTAACAATGCTGTTTCATACTATAAAATCCTAAAGTTGTGTTCAATTATGTATAATCTTATAATAGAGCCAGGACCTCACCTGGAATTTTCTATACTGTAATAATGGTGCAGCAAAGGCTATGATTTGTTATCAGTCACAATATTCATGTAAATCTGTACAACATTGGGAAAATGAATACTGAGTTCAGAAGAAAAAAAGAACATTTTATACAGTTATAAACAGATCATGATAGGGAGGTTATTGGGCCATGTTTTCTTTCGTTCTGTAAAGCTAACAGTACAGATGCTAAGTACTACTACACAGCATGTGGGAACTGTATTTATTTCCTTTGTTCTGTCAGGGATAGCCTTCCAATCATTTTGGTGTCGCCCCCTCTGAACAGTCGGGCACTCGGTCATTATCCAAGGGCCCTACAGATGCACAAGAGAGGAGGGAACCCAGCGGCATACCTTATACTGCCAAGTGAACGCTCCCTTCTCTCTTTGCCGGCGTCCATCACCAAGATGGCTGCCGGCAGGTAAGCATGTATGACGTCATTATGCGCATGCGTGATGACGTCCCAGCGGGGTGTCACCCGCCAGCTGCTCCCGGTGACACCACGCCTGGGGACGCCCCTGTAGCTTTCCATTCAAAGTATGTCATTTTTCTTATTAAGCAGAAGCTTTTTTCATGTTGTGTTCTGCAAATGTATGGGACCGGCGCTTAGAGGCTGACATTTGCAAACCTTTTCACATCTTTAGTGGTAGGGTGAATGAATATAAAACAATGCTTTTTTTTGTAGGACACATCAGTGGCCTTCAAGATATTTGAGTTAGGATTGAAAAAATATGGAGACATCCCTGAATATGTCCTGGCTTATATTGATTATTTATCTCACCTCAATGGTAAGTTTTATACGTATTATTATATCGTAGCTCTCAATTGTCCCTCATTTGAAACCAAAATTCCCCAGTCCCTCTCTTCTCAGATGTCCCTGTTTTTGGTCTGATATATAAACCTTAATAAATAAATGCATTATTTAACTAACAAAAGTGTTTTACTGAACTAAATCTTTAACCCTAATCATGGCATCTAATATTTTGAAAAAAAGCCAGTATATAGGAAAGGTGCTAGTGAAAAAAAAAAAAAGTACTTGTGGTTTTGACAAATTTTTTTATGCATAACAATCCTTCATCGTCCACATAAGTAGGGGATGTGTTCTTTGCCTGTGTACTTTCTTCCTTTTAAAAGTGTCCCTCCTATTCATCTCAGAAAGTTGATCATATATCAGCTGCCTGAATTTACAATAACCTCATAGACATATGTTGGCTGGATTTAGATTTTGCAAGCAGTAGAACAGATAGGATTGGAATTCCCAAAAGAGTGATATGAATTTTGGACTACCAGATGTACTTGTTATCACACAGAGAAACAGACATTCAGGCATGCTGAAAAATCCTTGTGTGACCAGGAGCAAAGAAATTATGCATTTGATCAGACATGTGTAGTCAAGAACAAGATTGTGACAGGTCCCAATGTGTTAGTGATGTGAGCAAGAACGGGCAGTTCTCTGTCCATTGTTCTTGGTAAGAGATCCACTTGTCTGCAGCCACCCATAGTCTTGTCCTCGTTACTCAGCCATACAATACAACAAAGAAACATCCTGCGCACAGCCCTGGTTGCATATATGATGTCTGTTTTTTTTTTTCTCAGAGGACAATAACACAAGGGTATTATTTGAACGTGTTTTGACATCTGGGAGTCTGCCACCTGAGAAATCTGGGTATGTATATATATTTTTTTCTATAGAAATCTTAATACTATCACAAAACAATGGTGCTGCATTAGTAGTCAGTCATGTTTCACTTGACATTTAGTGTCATGCCAGAAAAGCAAAGTTTTCATTTGTTGATACTTTGTAACTGCTGTATTTCATCAGCATTTTTATTTTCAAAAAAATCTTCAAGTATCTGAATAGATGTAGCATTTTTTCCATTATCCATGTTAACTGATAGAAATTATGTATCCTCTTTTGTGGTTATCCTATTCAGGTCTGACCCTCGGTTCATTTGGGTTTGACTTTGTTGGCCTGTTTGTTAAAGGAGAACTATGGGGTCAGTGTTTTTCCCCATAGTTCTCCTTAGGGTAACGGGAGGACACAAACTAGCGTCCTCCCGTTACCCTAAGCTCAGTATACCGCGAGCTACAGCTCGCGGTATACTGAGACGCCGCACCTGGAGCGGATCCCGACGTAGATGACGGGATCCGCCCAGCTGCGTGAGTGACAGCTGGCTCTGCCTATCTAGAGGCAGAGCCAGCTGTACCCGCCCCCTCCCCCGTCCGTTCCGCCAGTCAGCGCTGGCAGATCGGAGCGGGGAGAGGGGAATCCAGCCCCTCCCCCTGTCACGGCAGAGAGCCGTGACAGGATCGAGAGGTGAGCGAACCCGGTATGTGTTCGCTCACCTCCCGATCTACTGAGCCGACCTGTGACAGTCTCATTGTCACAGGTCGGCTAGAACTATGAGGTGAGTGGAAATCACTCATCTCATAGTTCTCCTTTAAAGTGACATTAAAGGCTACCCCCCCCCACACACCCAATGTTAGTGTAAGGACATACCTTAAATGATGCCTCTTTATTCGATCATCTTCTTTACTGTCTTTTTGAGCTGTCCCTCCAGCGCTGGTGCAGATCTCCGATCCAGCGCTGACTCCTCTGTCCTCCTCTCCTCTGATGTCCCACGTAGTCTGTGCGGGTGCACGCTGCTCCGTAGACTTACCTTGTGTCTCTCCTCATCTCCTGGTCGAACATCTGAACTTCGCACGTACCTGCTCCAAGATCCTTTGCGGCCGCCCAAGATTCTTCAGATGTTCGGACGGGAGTGCGACGAAGGCACAGGTAAGTTTAAACCTGTTTCAAAAGTTTTTTGTTTTTTGTTTTTTAAAGTTTTTGCATACATCTACTGCTTCCTAGCATTAGATATATGCAAAAAAACGTTCGGAATAAATGTCAGTTAAAGTACCGCAGCGCTGAATACTGAAAAATGGCCTTGATGGGAAGGGGGTTTAACACCGCGGATGTCAACTGGTTAACCTTACATGGCAGCACTTTATAGTCTTTTGTATCTGGTTTTCTTGTATATGTTTCTCTATGTATTCTAGCGCAATCCCTATTCAAATGTATTCTGTGTATATGCACTGGTTGCCCTTGCTTGTTTCTACTTTCTACTATTTTTTCACTAAAAAATAGAGACACACTTACCACCCACTTAGCTGAGTTCTCACAGCCAATGAAGTAATTCAACAATGTTCTAAAACTCGCAGCCTCTTGCAGCATCACGCGGTTTTCCAACTGTAAACAACAAAGCAAACTACAGGTGCACCGCTAAGATAAATAGCTAAGAAAACACCTAAAATGCATATATTGCACAGAAAACTGAAAGAGCACAAGTTCTAACAGCACTGCAAACCAGGCCAGGACACCACTCTGTTTGTGGTTGCTCTTTTTGACCTGGACACTTCTCCGTTACTTAAAGGCTAAGTTCACCTTTTGCAAAAATTAAAGAAATGCATATTTAATAATATAAATAAATATTTTACATTCATTTCTTTCATTTTTGCAAAAGATGAACTTAGCCTTTAAGGGGTTCAATTATTATGTTGGCTATATGTGAGGGACTGTCTCAGGAGTTCATACAGAGTGGTGTCCTGGCCCAGATTATAGTACTTTATACAGTACCACAGGAGATGAAGGTATGTGGGTCAGGGATAGTTTGTTGCACTTGTTCAAAAAGCATTAGGACACATCCTATTTTGTATCGGAGCATTAAAAAAGGGACTTTCTTCCATCCACTTGTATGCTATCACAGAAGGGTGTTGTATAGATTTTATTATGTTATGCAGCCACTTATATAAAATATGCCATTATTACAAACTGCCTCACTTTCTGTTAGCACCTCCTTGCGGTTTTCTTTTCAACAGTAAAGAAGTCATAGATTAGAATAGATAAACGATATATAGCACAGATTGTGAGGATCAGAAACATTCCACAGATTCAAAAAGTCAGCTTTGTCTACACATCCCGCAAAACACTGATCAATAGTCTGTCCAACTTCAACAGTTGGAAGGGGATCTAGTATACCTGAAGAAAATGCTTAAAGGAGAAGTCAAATATACTCTTCCCCATACTTAGAGCCAGCCTGGGACACTGCAGCTGTCACATGCCAGCTCTATATGCCCAGAGCTGAGCAATCAGAAACTTTTGAACGCTCTGCTTACAGTATTCTCCCTGCAGAGAGTGGTGACTGTCAGCCATGCTTCCCCACAGGGATTCCCCCCTCCTCTCTCTCTGTTCCTCCAGTGCTTACTGGAAGGACAGACATGGTATAGGGTAGACACAGCTGGCTGTAGGGAGGCAGAGCCAGCTATCAACCAGGCAGCCTGATGGACCCCAACAATATTGTCTGGATCCTTCCTGATTGTGATACTACTCTGCACTGTCAGCATATAGTGGGCAGTAGCCTGCGATTTACTGACTTTGGGTCACAGGAGTACATTAGTAACATTAGTTTGGCTTTACTACTCTTTAAAGTTAGTCCAGTCTATTTTGAATGCAGATATCTGTGATCATTTATGTCTCTTTGAATTCAGACCAATCACCTGCACCTATGGAGAAAATCAATTAGATATTATTAGAATATTTGCCAATCATTAAGCTGGTATATTATAAAACAAAATATATATCTATAGATATTTCTATCTATAGCTATATATCTATAAAACTGGAGCAGCTGTGCATGGTAACCAATCAGCTTCTCTCTTCAGTTTGGTCAGTTAAGATTTGAAAATGAAAGAGAGAAGCTGATTGGTTGCCATCATGCACAGCTGCTCTACATTTTATCTGCTCCAGTTTTGATAAATTCCCTTAATAGTATATAGTGATTCATTATTTTATTGGCTATGTCAATAATCAGTTCATTTTGTGGTTTCCTTAGTGAGATCTGGGCCCGGTTCTTGGCATTTGAGAGTAATATTGGAGATCTAGCGAGTATTCTGAAAGTGGAGAAGAGGAGATATACTGCATTCAAAGAGGAGTACGAGGGGAAGGAGACAGCGCTGCTGGTGGACAGGTACAAGTTCATGGATCTGTACCCGTGCTCTGCAAGTGAACTCAAAGCTTTAGGATATAAGGTATGCCCAAAGCAATGCTAAACACTTTACCTTCTCCCCTTCAAGTTTTTTTAAGCTTTTTTTTTTAATGCTTTTCTTCTGGCTTTTTTCATGCCCCAGCTTCATATCTCTTCTTTTTTTTCTATTTCCTGCCCATCTATCGCTAACCTGTAATGACAATATGCACCTATTTTTCTAGGATGTTTCCCGTGCCAAATTAGCTTCTATGATCCCAGACCCAGTGGTGACTCCTTCAACAGCCCCATCCTTAAAGGATGAGATTGACAGAAAACCTGAATATCCCAAACCAGACACCAGCCAGATGATCCCTTTTCAACCAAGACACCTAGCCCGTAAGTCGTCACCAGTATTTTGATAGTTGTGTGTATGATTACACATAATCCTCAGAAGTTCTTTGATTTCTGTGAGGTTCCTTTGGAGACCAATACTTTATTTTCAGTTATACAGTATAGTTGCTATAAGACTGAGTAGATAATAATGTAATTTTTATATACCGTATTTTTCGCTCCATAAGACGCACTTTTTTCCCCCCAAAAGGAGGGGGGAAAAGTGCCTGCGTCCTATGGTCCGGTGCGTCTTATGGACCGCAAAATACGGTAGTTAGTACATTGAGAACTGCAAATATCCCTAGTAATATTATATTTTCATGAGCTCCTTAATATATCCCACAGTACTAAGCAAAATACTACAACATACAAATACTACAACATGCAAGCTGGGTTACTTTGTTGTATGAAAGCAAACATCCAAACTTAAATTTACAAAAAATGAAAATGGTAGTTCTATTTCCAGCAAGGGGCTGTCCACACCTATGCACAGTTATCATATATGAGATAAGAAGGGTCCTGTATGAGGCATCCCAATGGCATGGGCTGTATCACAATTGCTAAGCTGTCTATTGAAAGCCAATGGAATAAAGTGACAAACACTTTCATAAAGTGTTTCCCTTATACCTTTTTTTAGATGGTTAATTTAGATTTGGGATTATATGTGCTGGTAATCAGATATTCCTTTTGGCGATCGAGCATTTTAAGATTATAGTTAACTGACCAGGTGAAAGTTTATTTAATTGGTTGGCGCTGCAAACTGTAGAGGGTCACAACACAGGTAAAACTGGCCATACACCTTACAACCATTGTACAGCTTTGTTTTTGTCCCGACATCGCACACTAGTTCAATTTTCGTTCAAACAGCCCATCATGCACAGAACAATGTATTTCGCGATTATCGATCGAAAGAACAGATTTTCCTTTTCGCATGTGCAGTTTTCATCTTGCGATTTTTGTTGTACGAAAACGCCACTAATCCATCTGTTTTCGTCCAACTCAACGAAAGTTCTCTAGGCTGCTTAAAAGACGAAATTCGGATGAATTTGGACAAAAAAAATCGGCCCATAATTGTAAGGTGTACGGGCACCTTAAGTGTGACTTATGTGTTAAAACCAGGATTGAGATTACAACATCATAGATGTTGTACAATATAGATTTTAGCTCTACAACATCCTATGGTTTAAAAAATAATGTTTTAATGTTTAGTGGTCCTGATGTATTTGTGAATAGAAGCATCTGTGGAAGGTGTAACAAAGCCCAGTCTAATGACAGTTCTGTATTGTGTGTTCTGTAGCTCCTGGACTTCACCCAGTGCCTGGAGGTGTGTTCCCAGTGCCTCCTGCTGCTGTGCTACTAATGAAGCTGCTTCCTCCACCTCTGTGTTACCAGGTACATGAGTGCCATCCTCTCATTACTACGTCTTTCTCCTTTTGTTTCCTTCCTAATTTACTGATATCTTTATAATACTGCAGTGTTCTCTGGGAAGAATGCCTATAATCCTGTGTCAGACCCTGACATCACTGCATACAGCACTATAATACTGTGGTTATATCTGTTGTGTGCTTGACCTCTATATGATTTACTTTGCAAACACAATGCCATCTACTAATATTCTGGCAGACATGGTGAAAACGTGACGATTATGGCAGTTGGGGATTATACACAGCTCTGTTCTATGCTAAATATCTATACAACTATTCTGCATTTTAGAACAACTGCCATCTGCCTCTCTTCCACCCTAAAGCCGCCTTTCTCAACTTTTCTAACAGGGAGGAAACTTTGAAAACACTTTCAGATCAGGGAACCCCTACTTATTAATAATTACTGTATCTACAGCTAATGGTAATAAACATGAAGTTAAGACATAGGAATAAATAAAAGCATAAAGAATGTGGCATGCTTAGTGTATTCGATGCTCCGTAAAGCAAAAACATGTTTTGTTAATAATAATAATAGTATTGCAATGAAACAAATAGTAATAATGGCCAGAAAAATGCAGACAGTAAGCATTGTAATGTAGTGTTCCCTTTCATTGGTGATCATTAGAGAAATGTCCCATTACATTGACAGTGGAATGATACTCCTTACATTGATCGTCAGTAAAATGCTCCCTTACATTGGTGGTCAGTGGGAAAAGGGTGCGATTGCACCGATGATCAGTGGGAAAATTGCTCCTTACATAGATGGCTTTTTAGGAAGAATGTCTTATACTGGTGGTCAGTGGGAATAATAATTCCCCCCAATACAGATGGCTAAAACGATTACTGGTGTCAGTGGTCAGAAATCCAGAAATTGCTCAATGAACCCCTAGCGACCTCTGAGAGAAGCCTATGGTTCCACAGCACGTGGAACCACGTCTATGACTCCAAATTGTTAAAGCCAGGCACAGCCATACACCTAACATTTCCAGAATGAATGTAGCAACGGCAGCCGCATTCTTTTCTCATGACAGTAGCACCCCATGTCCCTGAACCCAGGAAGACTGATGGACTGTGATTGTATGGCATTAATGTCCAATCTCCTGAGGGGGTGATACCACGTCACTCTTCACACTGTACTGGTGCAGAGAGCAGCACTGACATCAGAGGGGCTTTGGAAGGACCATGGAGCTCAGAGTTGGGCTCTAAGGGGAGCCTGTAAGAACAGAAATATGGTAGCTGTTTTCAGAGGTGTAAAGTTGAGAGCTTCATTCCTTATCCAGGCTCCACTACCCTCTGAGGTCACCAACATGCTTGCAAGAAAGGAGTTCAATTGTCAAAATTCACTGGCTGCAGCTTTGATTCAGGCACTAGCAAAGCCAGGATTGGGATGGCAGCTGAAAAGAGGTTACCAGTGGCAGCTCTCCTGTTTCTATCATAACTTTAAGTGATTCTACCACTCATAAGTCTAAGTGTGAAAATTTAGGCACACAGAGTAACTACTTTTATTTTTATCACAATAGGGTCCTTTTGTGCAGGTGGATGAAGTTATGGAGATCTTTCGCAGGTGTAAGCTTCCAGATAGTAAGTATTGGTTCAGAATGCTGAAACTAATATTCCAGGTAGTAAGTATTGGTTCAGAATCCGAAACTAATATTCCAGGTAGTAAGTATTGGTTCAGAATGCTGAAACTAATATTCCAGGTAGTAACTATTGGTTCAGAATGCTGAATCTAATATTGCAGATAGTAAGTATTGGTTCAGAATGCTGAAACTAATATTGCATTTAATTACACAGCTTTTTTTTTTTTTTAATTCTTTATTTATAAACAAAGTGGTGGGATACAGAGATAATTCACATCGTATCTGGGCCACATGGCCGCACATCAAACCAAGGCAATGAACAACCTGACGATTAGTGTAGTGCCAAAAACAAACATTGTGAACCTCTCCAATCAAATCTTCTCAAACAATATCAGAGAATGTAAAGTACATACATAATATAAACAAGAACAACACTAGTCAGGTTGGACTCTCTTCCTCCCAGCCCCTTCAGCATTTTGTGGTATAAAACAAGGATAGGACAGTGTTCAGTGGTAGACCGCAAGATCCAGACCACTGACATGGAAGGCCAGCATCAAAGTGGTCTACCCCAACCAACACACATTAATTAAACAAAACAGAACAAAACAACACAACACTGAGTAGGAAGAGAGTGAGAGATAGTGAACACATAAGGAAGGGTAAGGGAAGGTTCCAGGTGTTGGCCAACTCCAGGGCCTCCGGCAATGGTTACTCCTAGTCTTGCCCGGAGAGTGCAGCAGGGGGTTAGCTAGGACTCGCTCCGTCCTTCTGTTCTGGGCCTGCTCATAGGCGCAAAGTCAGCTGAGTCTCTGAACAGGTACCATGCGCTCCAAGTAGTTACGAATCTGGACTGGGTCCCATTTAAGGAGGAGGTCAAATCCTCCATCAGTTTAATCTCCTCCACTCGGCTGACCCACATTTCGACATTTGGCTGTGTGGTTTGCTTCCACAGGGCCGGAATGCAGGCCCTTGCTGCATTGAGTAAGTGAATCAGCAGGGAACGTCGGTATTGTTTGTGCGATAGTGGCGCCAGGTGGAGGAGAAACACCGAGGGAGAGAATGGAAGTGTAAGGCCTGTGATTTTGCCGATCAATGTGGCGATCCTGGACCAGAAAGGTCTGACTTTGGAGCAGGACCAAAAAATATGTAAAAGGGATCCCTGTTCTTCCCCACAGCGCCAACAGAGATCAGATACCGATGGATACATCACATGGAGGGCCACCGGTACTCTGTACCATCTGGTCAAGAGCTTATAGCCTGCTTCCTGGTATTTGTTTGACACCGAAGATCTGAGGGCAAAACATATCATACGGTCCACCTGTTGGGGGTTCAGGTCTATTTCTAGCTCAGTGGCCCACTGTCTAACGAAATATGGTGGGGGCAAGTCTGGGGGATTGCGGAGGTAGTTCATCAT